TCTGTTTAAAGCGTAAATATTAATATATGTGTTTTATGGCTGGAGAACTTCCTTAAACAATTCTAGTTCATTTCTATACTAATATAGATTAACTTTTATCTCGGGTTAATTTATTCTTTATCTTATTTAATTCTTAGGACTAGAAGAAGATAAAAAGTTAAACCGAAATTAAAATTAATCTACATTGGATAAAAATGGACATTCGCCGATCGAGTTAACTGCTGACTATGCTTAGTTATATGGAACAGAAAATATCAGAAAGTAGTTTGAGACGGTCATGAATGTCATGATCGCTGTTATTGATATATTTTTACCAAATATATTTCTATTAGAGTACAAATTTAAAAAATATTACTTTTTATTGAAATATATATATAACTTAATTGATCCAGATGGTCAAAAAGTTTGAAAAAATTCAGGAATTCCTCTATGTTGAATTTTGTAGGTGGAATCATTCGGGGTAAACGCATGTACTAGATAAGTGTGCGTATTGTCTGTATCTTAACGGGAAAGGGAGAATCATGTGGGGGAGGATGATTCCATCATGCATGGGGAGGATAGGAATTGCTTACTGTTAGCCGGTTAGTGGCGCTTGGATGCCAGCAAAAAGTAAATGACAACTGGAACTCTATGCGCAATAATAAAACAAATATACGCGTATAGTTATAAAATAACACCGATAGATTTTTAGTTGCTGGAAGTGTGTCACGCCCCAAATTAAAGAAGAAAAAAAAGGTGAGTACATGTTTTATACGTAGCATTGTAATATAATGGCGTTTTCGGCTCGACAGTGTTTGCAGCACTAACCTGGGTTGAATTAATGACGTTTCATGCTCCCTTATTGATAGAGCGAGTAACGTGAACAAATGGCAAAGCATTTTCCAACCCAGTGCAAACCCGGTCAGGCCAAAAACGCTGTCATATTGCGTAACAATATTTGAGGCTCTCTCGGCTGTTGTTAATACTGAGATTTATGGCGTCTCGGCCCGACCGGGTTCGCAGTAACCTGAGTTGAATTAATGACGTATCGTGCTCTCTTATTGGTAGAGCGTGTAACGTCAACCAATAGCAAAGCGCTTTCCAACCCAGGGTATCGATCGTGTAATTTTTTCCCTTATAGGGCGGAAACGTAAAAAGTGAAAATTTTTTGTATATAAGTACGTGTGCGTATGTACATACATAAGTTGCTTTCCATTTATACATAAGTGAAACTGAGTCTGAACTAGCCTGAACTAGTCTGAACTAGTCTGAACTAGTCTGAAGTGAGCTGAATATTTCGTACTCAGATTAATGACGTCATTGCTTGCTTATTTTGATAAAAATTTATCACATGAACACAGCCTCATTGTCTCACTTTTAAAGCGAGTTTACGAGTCCGATTCAGTCCGAGATTCGCTAAAGAACACGATTTCAATCTTGTGCAAAATTGTAGGTAAAAACTCAGTTGAATCTCATTTGTCAGAATGCAATAGGAACGCGCATTCAACTGAGTTATGACGTCACAAGTGAGGATTATCTGAGAATTGGCGTAAATGGAAAGCAACTATTTATACATAAAAATTTTCACTTTTCACGTTTCCGCTCTAAAGAAAGAGTTATATAAAAACATTGACTTTGAGTAAAGTGTACGCACGCGTATACTTAGCTGCATAAATTAACCTCAGTACTAATGATAATCAACATAACCTCAAACACATGCGCACATTTACCTTCAAAACTTTTAAATGATATTGATTCTGATTTTTTATATTTTAAGATATAATCTAGGAAGATGTCTAGAGACTATGAAAAACATACAAAGAGAAAACCCGTTACTCAAGATCAATTGGATGCAGCAATGAAATTGCTTGAAAAAGGACTTACCAAAAGAAAAGCAGCTGAGCAGATTGGCATCAGTGAATTTGTATTGGGAAAAAGATTGAAGATTCCATGTGCATCATCTTTTCAAGGACGTTTCAAGTCTACATTTGATGTTGCTCAGGAGAAACAATTCGTCCATTATTGTAAGAAGATGGACAACTTATTTTTTGGTGTGACCTTTAATGACACTCGCAGGCTGGCTTTTGAGTTTGCTGAATCAAACAAAATATCTCATCCTTTCGACTCTGCAATAAAAATGGCTGGTCGCAACTGGCTAGACCGTTTTCTTACTCGACATAAGAAGTTACACATTGATCGTCAATCCACATCTGTTAGTTTAGCAAGAGCAACAGGATTCAACAAAATTCAAGTTGACAAATTCTACAAAAATCTTGATGAATTAAATGAGAAATACAAATTTAAACCTAACCGTATCTATAATATGGATGAAATCGACATGAGTACATTTTCAAAACAAATTCCAAAAGTCACACCAAGTAAGAAGAAAAAAGTTCCCCAAAAAAATTCAAAAGTCGTATCAAGTAAGAAGAAAGAAGAAAGTAAGAAGAAAAAAGTTGATGATAAATTAGTATCATCAGAGTCAGATATCACAATCACAGTCATTTGTTGCATGAGTGCATCTGGTCATTTTATTCCTCCTGCTTTCATTTATCCTCGAAAACGCTCTGACACTGAATTACTAGAAGATGGGCCAACTGATTCAGTTTGTATGGTTTCAGACAGTGCTTATATTAACACGAATTTAATTTTAAAGTGGATGCATCACTTCAAAAAATACGCACATCCAACGAAAAACGATCCTGTTCTGCTTATAATTGACAATGACTCTTCACATATTAGTTTGAAGGCTGTTCATTTCGCTCGTGACAATGGAATAATAATGCTTATTCTTCCTCCTCATAGCAGTCATAAAATTCAACCGCTGGATATGTTAATATTCAGTTCTTTAAAAACGATATATGCAATCGAGTGCGACAAATGGATGACACAGCATCCAGATAGAGGAGTGACTGAATATCAAGTGGCCCATCTGTTCAATATTGCTTATAAGCAACTTGCAACAATATCCAATGCTGAATCAGCATTTAAAGTTTCAGGAATTTATCCTTTCAATGATAATCTTTTCAATGAATCTGACTTTGCATCAGTTTCAGTAATTGATCAAGGCAACGATGGACCAACTGCAGAATTGCATCAGAATTTATCTGTAGAATTGCCTCAGAATTCATCCGCAGAATTGCCTCAGAATTCATCCGCAGAGTTGCCTCAGAATTCATCCGCAGAATTGAATCAGAATTCATCCGCAGAGTTGCATCAGAATTTATCCGCAGAATTGAATCAGAATTCATCTACAGAATTGCAGCAGAATTCATCCACAGAATTGCAGCAGAATTTATCCACAGAATTGAAGCAGAATTCATCCACAGAATTGCAGCAGAATTCATCCACAACGATGGCACGATTGCCAGAATTGTATCAGGATTCATCCTCGGAGGATTCATAAAAAAAAGATAATGAATTTATTATAAAAAGATAATTTATTGTAAATAAATCATAACTTCTGGAATTTAATGTAATTGAATTACCTCTCCTTAGAAATACCCAATCCGAATAGTTTCAATCTGTGTTCGTTCCGTAAAATCCTGGAAGAAATCAAACTGAAAAAGAAAATATTTCTCAAATTCAGCCAGTAACCATTGTTGATCTTAGTCCAATTCCTCGAGCAATTGAACGACAACAAAGTAGACGAAAAGCAGAAAAGTCAGAAGTGATAAATTCGAGTCTTTTTAAGGTCCAACTAGAAGATAATTCTTACAGATTAGATAAATGGTGGGGATTAACCAATCAGAAGAATTTTGTTAGAATACGAATTCTAATTTATTTTTTTTATCTCAAAAATGTTAGAGCTTTTTTTCTGCCGATTTATCCCATTTGTCATAAAAAATTTCAAATCTAAAAAAATCAATGACCAGTTTCTTTTTTCGTAAAAAAAGGTGGTCTTTCTTATTCTTAGGCCCGCCCCTGATTGAATAAAAAGATAATGTATAGTCCTAAAAGATAAGTTTTCGTGTCCATTAAACATATACTAAGTTATATCAAAATAACTCGAACGGTTTTTGAAATTTTTGAAAAAAAAACGGAATTTTTTTCCAACTTTGACATCTTAATTGTATCCTTAGAAAGCCGTTTTCGACAAATCATCATATGAAGTTTTAGTTTTGAATTTGTGTGAGCAATCACCCCTTAAAATATTTTAGCGTACTTAGGATACAATCTGTACAATACAATGTCATGCTAATCATGCTAACTTCGCAGAGATATCAAAGGATTTGTGAAGTTAGCACATATCATTCTATTGATGTAAGGAAAACAACCACAGTACCAGCACTGTCCATATTTCTATAACATAAAAAAAGGAGTTTTGCATTTTTTTATATTAAAAATGGATTTTTTTTTAATTTAACGAGCGCAACTATTTTGAATGTAATTAAACATCCTCTTGATAAACAGCATAAATAAATTTTCCGAATGATGCTTCTTAAAAATACAGAAGAGAATAACGTTTAAAACGGAAACCTTTTTCTATTTTTATTTTAAACAATCTATCTATGATGACTACGTAGTCCATTTAATAATAAATAATATAATTAATAAATAAATTACTAAAAATAATTAATAATTTTTTTATATGCGACTTGAATGTAGATACGATTGTAAATTCGGACCGTGTGATTGTTTCTGTTTTCTCGCCGATAAATGGATAAAGTCGAGTTGTAACAAAGGGAGGCATGTCCGTTTCAATCTTAACACCTATAAACAATTTGGAAAACGCTCATGATTATTCGTTCTGTTTATCGGTTCCTCCCCAACGTATCGTGTTATGCCGAGATTGGCAATTCACTCGACTGTTTGGATATTGACGCTGCTCTTTTGCCTCGCCGTGACTGAAAATAAAACGTATCCAGGTATCTGTCGTCACAGTTCGTACAACTTTTTTATCTGTTCTTCCGAATGCTTCTGCAAATGCTTGCAAAGGCAACAAATGTTATTGGAACGAAAATGTTATTTATCATTAGATAAATAACTTTTTAGACGCTAAACTGATCGATTCCATTCTTTGTAAATTTCTGAATTTTAGAATCACATGATTATAAGTTTATGATTTTATCGATTTTCTTTATTCTCTACTTCATAAATTTAAGTTAAAATTGGCTTTAAAAGATTTGGCTTCTGAAAAGTTTAAATAATGAAAAAGTCATACAACAACGATGATGGTTATAAGCTCAATAAAATTGATGCTCAATCCTCTGCATTTTTTCTAGAAGAAAATGTTTACTTTTTAGATTTTCGAGAGGACAAACTGGCGCATAATTCCTCCGTAAGTTTTTGGAAGAGAAGACCATTTTGCGGAAATAAATCTCTCGAAATTATCAGATCAAAATTTCCGAACGAGACCTTGCGATTTCGAGCAGCAGGAGGTATAAATCTTGAAGGATACAAAAACGCCAGTTTAAATACAAGAACTTTGATGGATTTTAACGGTCCAGTTATAATAGAGGATCTCGATGACATGAACGATCAGAATCTCGTGAACCACATTCGCATCAAGAGAAACGAGCCGATTGTTCATCGTCGATCGAGTTCCGTGAATTTGCTTCCACGAAATTCCCAGCGCAGGACCGATGAGACAAGCATATTTAGCGACTCGACATTAAAAGGATCACGTTCGAAGTACGAGAACCAATCTGATACCATCATGGATACGACATACATAGTCCCGCAATCACGATACAAACGAGGAGTCCTGTCAGAAAACGGCCATCGTAGAAAACGCGTAAAGGGAAATATTGGGCATTCTAAACATAACGTCGAAACGAAAAACAAAAATAAGAAACACAATGCTTTGAAGTCTCCCAATCAGCTTGTCACGAAAAAAACGAAAAATCCAAATTCGAGTATGTTCTCGTTAATCTTTCGTTTCGAATATATCAGAGATTATATTCATTTTGCTAAATATGGTCATTTAATTCCTAACGTATGTTATAAGAGTAATATTTTTACAAATCAAATAAAACTCAGAATTAGACGCTCAGTATTAAGAAGAAAGAGGTTGCTTACCTAGATTCTTTATTTGTAATCTGGAAATCAGATTTAAAATAAATGTAATCCTTAGATATAAACGAAGAGTTATATTTTTATAATTACAAAATCTTAAATATATTTCAAATCATATATAAAAAATTATGGAAGTATTTAAAAGTTAAATATATTAAAAATTATATAAAAAAATGAAATCCTTATAAAGAAAGTATTTAAAACTAAAGATGTACTTTTAATTTATAGAATGTGATAGACAGAACATAGATAGCATGCATTATCGCGAATATATTAAATATTATACAAAATCAAATCTGAATTTTTAGTTTCTCAAAACGAATTCTTTTCTATTTATCTCATTTATTTATAGAAAAAAGAAATAAAAATACTCAAGAAATCGGAATACCTACCAAAACAATCGACGAGTCGCGGAAAATAGAGAAAAGGGAATCCGAAAGTAGCGATTTCAACAATATTGACAGTGCTAACGAGCAAACGGAAGCCTTAATTAATCCGAAAGAAGATGCGTCATTAATAAATAATAGAAGTTTGGTAGAACAGCGACAAGAAAACGCCGTAATGTTACCTTTTGTGCACACTGGAAAAGCGGAATTGCATGTTCGTATCGAAAAAATTCCTACGAACAAGTCGTTATTTATCAGTCTTAATAATTGGACGGATCATTCTATCGGGACTAGTCCTTGCTCGATTATGTTACCGAAATACAATACGAGCGATGAAATTCTCCATATTAACCCAAATGTTGCCTCGAATTTTGACTCCGCCGAAAAAACGAAAGCTAATAACGTAATAGTGGAGATTACTTTGAAGAAGCAAGATCTCGGAAACGTGTCTGGTCAGGAAACAAGCGATTCTGAAAATACATCGTTCTATAATACGGAAGCCGAAATGGAAGCTCATCCGGTTAAATCCAACATGCCGAGAATCGAAAACAACCGAAATATAGAAAGAGAAAAGTACGATCACATGAACGAGATGTCTGTGGAATTATCGGACGAGGACGCAAAGTTGCGAGCGAAGAGAAACCAGCAAGTTATGTCCAAGTATTTACGAAACGATAAGAACTTGAAGGAATCGACACGTTTCAAAGGCACTGAAGAAGAAATCGGAGACATGAAAAGTGAAAAGACAAGGTACAGAAGGATTCGAGGTAATCGTGCTGTGAGATCGATCGAAGAAATTAAGGATCTTGCCGAAAAGTTAATCGCCAAGGTAAGAAATTGTTCCGTCAGAAATCTTGCAGATTATATCAGAGTTTAGTGTAGAGATTCTTCGTTTCCAGATAAACGAACTGCAAGTATATGTGAGTAATCGTAGTGAAACTCTATATAACTCTATAAAAGAAAGGGATTCCCATAAAAATGCAGAACGCGCAATCAAGGAAGAACCGAAAATCACCGCAAAGAAGAAAGACATCTCAAGTTCTGCGTCCAAGATTGCCGAGAACACTGACAATCGCCAGCGCTTTGCAAAGGAAGCGATTTTAGCAGGTAAAAGACCATCCCAAATGCGTTCTAACGGTTCGAGATTCGCGCGAGGAGAGTATCGAACGAGGAGGAGATCGCGTCGCAAGTGGGGCAGGTGGATGGACTGGAGCAGCTGTAGCGTCACCTGCGGCAAGGGTCGACAGATCAGGTGGCGGCATTGCCTACAAATTGCCGGCCTGTCCCCCGAGTAAGTTCCTTGGAATATTTTGAAAGATTCCTCCTTCGACAGACGATGATCGGCGATGTTTTGCAGCGTATCAGCGATGTTGTCAGTACCATAATTTTTAAAATATTATGTAAAACAGCAATGTGATTTGACGTGGATACTATAATCTTCCGGTTGTTTAAAATGTATAGAATTATTTATTTATCTAACTGCGCTCTTCATGAATAAGGATTTCGAATCGCTTCTCGATAAGGAACGTTCGCGAAGTATCAAATTCTTTGAAATTCATTTTATTCTGTTCTTTTTTTCTGTATAACAATTTTCGTACAAAGATTTTTATCATTTCGGATCACGTGCTTGTGTTTCACATTACATAGGAACTTTCAAAGTTACAAAAATGCAATTAACAATCGATGACGATTCATCCCGAGAAAATTGTTTGAACGATGAAATTCTTGAAATTCGCAAGTTACAAACGTTATCGTTGTATAAAACTTGATGAACAAAATTTTTTTACAGCCTCGTGAACTTTCCTTCTTTATTAATTATTCATGTATAACACAGTTTGCATTTTGTATAATTGCATAACAAATCGTTTGATGTATATTTCTCATCGTCTCATTATCAAATACATAATATATTATACAGCATTTTAAACAATATCTCCTTCTTCGCCTTCAGTATTCACAAATAACCAGGATTTATTGATTAAAGAGTAAGCAGTTCAATCATATTCAATGTCACTAAGTCACACAAGATACGATTGTCCGCCCCTTGCTAATAATCGTGTTACAAAATGTTAACGAGCGTATATTTTCCGTGCAAGTAGATACGAATCTATACAATGCTTTCTGCTTTTTTTTCCCAATCAAATGGCGCAGGACTTTGCTCTATCAGCAATCCGTACATTTTTGTATGTTATAAAATCTGATATCGTACAATATTTATAAAGTTTTCTACAATACATTTTTTCTTACGTTCGTTTTCTGTGATGCTCCGATTTAAAAAATATTAATAAAATTCAGTCGACTATTTAACATTTTTATCCTATCAATTTAGGCGTAACGTAAGAATCATAGTGTATTGTATGAGCAACGTATAATTCATTAAATATTAATAAGCTAGATAACATACTCTCTATAAGCAATTCTTTGTCAAAGAATATTCAAAAGCAAATATAACATGTTTATGCGGCAAATTTTATCACAATTGGAATATTATTACGTTGTCAGTATAAGTTTTCAATCATCAACAATTTATTTTTAATTTTTTTTTCTGGGCACTTAATGGACAAGATATCCATCAAGATTGCTTTTAAATGCAAGATAAAATGGACGTTTGATAATTAAAAACAATTGTTGATAAAGATTAAGATTTCTAGCGTGCAAATATAATTAGTATCTATTTTTCTTTCATCGAACATATTTTTAGAATGTGTCAATTATCCGACATGTTTATTGAAATAATCTGTAAAATATTCTCATGCATGGCACATTCGTAAATGCTGATTTAAACAAAATGCACCTTATTTAATTTACATTTTGATGTTATGCTGCATCTTACTTTTGACTAAGTGTACAATAAAAAAATGCTACAAAATAATGATACAAGATATAGTATCGAAAGTTGTATAATCGAACATTCGTGAAATGAATTAAGCGAATGAGAAAGACAATGCGAATGTAACGCCTTCAATTATTTAATATTTGACTTATTCAGGAGAACACATCGCGTTACATATACAAATTGATCACATTAATAAAACGCATCTATTCTTCGCGCGTATGTATTCACGCATACATATGAATTTTCTTAACCATGTATCGTTACGTAATTAGTATCAATAGTCACGTATCGTGCGCATTGGCATTCACAATTTTGTCCTAGATTAAAAGGACGCAAATCAGTCAACAATGAAAATTGTAATCTTACCTATCATTCGACTACTTAAATTGTGAATGCTATATTTGATAACTTTGAGCGTTGTTTTAACATCGTCGACTTATCTGCAATTGTAATTATCCGGTAGATCTGATATATGTCAGATTGCAATCAAAGCTTGATGTTCACAGCTATTTGCACATTTTTGGCTTATCATTTAACAAGAAGTCACTTGTGTGGAAGAAGAACCAAGGCGCATATTGTGATATTGTGTGTGTGTGTGTATATATATATATATATATATGGAGTTCATTTCCCTCTTATATATATATAAAACCACAGTGACTTCGTCGCGATCCATGAGATCAGAATACATCACTATTAAAATAGTATATTTCTTGCTTGTTCGACTTGGTTATTCTCATCAGAGGAACAATAAGCTAGTATGTCTATTTGCTGCTCTTCACCTCCGGCTAACACTCGTACATCTCGGTCCACATCAACGCGCATTTTCGTAAGTATTCTTTCCACTTCTTCCATCGCGTCTATGCCCAAATTATCTACTAAAAATAAAAATATACGAAATAAGATGCAATATACCAAATCAGCGCGGTATATTATGATAATAACATAGTATCTTAATAATACTTACCACCCATCGCAATCACATCCGTTGCTATAGTTCTCGCAACGGCTAATCTTACATTAGGTACTCTATCACACGACAAACTTATCAAACATGGTAACATTTCCTTAGAAAACTTCTCTTCCGGGATTGCGTTGTTACGAATTAGGTGGGCACATACAAGCGCATAAGTTTGCCGATGTATCCACTTTTTAGCGTCTAGAACTAGAGTTTCTCGAAGTTCGTGAATAAGGGACATTACCAGAGCATCCTCGTTGGACAAGTAGCACATTATTCGTGTGATCTGAAGGAATTTGAATTCAAGTTTATAGATAAAACAATTATGAATTACAATATATATACGATAGATGCAATTATCTTACCAGTTCAAGAGCGATGGTTCTAACAGCAGCAACTTTATCTACAAGCAGTTGGAAAGACAGCGGCGCGATACTTTGGGCCACATCGCTCGGACTGAACAGACTTACAATCTCGAGCAATTGTGTGGCTAGTTCCTCTCTGAACCTCCAATTCCATTCGTTATCTGTGGCAAGGAAATCGCTCAGTCTTGATAGATATTGACAGCGATCGACGGGTTTGAGTATTTTCAGAAAAGTTGCAAAGTGCTTGAGCACACCTATTCTGACCTCGTCGAGATCTTTAATAAAACCATCGTAAATTGGTACGAGATCAGTAGCAGTGAGTTCTTCGCCTAAAATCATAGCAATCTCATGAATGCTGGATGCTAGAGTACGCCTAACTCTCCAGTGTTTCGCGCTCGACAACAATTGATAAGCCTTCTTCAAGTAATGCCAATTCTCTTTGCCCAGCGTGAGCGCGACTGCAGGAAAACTAAAGGCACAATAATGTGGGATCTCGGCACTCATGAACACGCATTGACCCGGGTCGGCCATTGATACAAAATAATTGATTAATTCTTGAGGTACGATCTCTTGTTTATTATGTTTCGCATTTAAATTCTTACAAGATTCATCACTCTTGCCTATAGAATCTTCGTCATATATATAAAATTTTCTGTCTAGATTACACTCCTCGTACTTTTCTCGTAAAGTTTTTAGAAAATCTTTTCGAACTCGAGGGCGTGTACATCTATCGACTGGAGAGATATACTCGTCATTTTGTTTTTCCATTTGTTTATCGTCATCTTGCTTTTCCTTTTGTTTATCGAAGAATTTGATCATTTCAAAGACGTTTACATTTGAGTCATCGTTTGATTGCTCGTTTATATTTGAATCATCCATATTCGAATTCAGAATAGGACCTGGATTTTTGGAAGAGGAATTCAAAAATGAATCAACTATACTCTGATCCACGAAAGGAATTTCACTTAAGGGAGTAAATGTGATTGTATAGACGTTTACATTTGAATCATCGTTTAATTGTTCGTTTATATTTGAATTATCATTCGAATTCACGACATATCTTTACGATTCATTGCCGATTGCCTTGCGGCGTGAGTAAGTTCATCATCCAGCGGTATATCCGGAGGTATATAATAATATAAAAATGGATTATATTTCTCCGCATCACGTTTTTCTTTCTCTATTTTTAATTGATACGTTATTTCACAAGACTGAAAATAAAAAAAATATAATTTTATATTTGAGTAATTTTAAATGGCATACGCACAATGAATTCATAACAAGCTTATAAGAATTTTTTGATATGAAATTATAACAAAACAAATTTATTTTTAATTAATAATGTTTATGTTTAAAAGGTGAACCATCTGTCATGATTTCTAGAACTATAAAGAAATTTAAAAAAAAAAAATAACTTCTATTGTAGCTTTCATAAAAAATTTTAACAAATGTTAATGTTATGATATATCGTTTTATTTATACATACTTTTGGACAGTCAAGTTCCGCTTTTTGGCAATCATCTTCTTTTACGGAATCATCTTCTTCCGATACTTTAACGTCTTCATGTCTCACGTTCATCATAGGCAGATAAAATGGACTTTTAGTATTATATCTGTATTTGGCATTTGCTATCATATCTTCGTCCATATCTGGTATTTGATTTTTGATCGCGCTCTTCATAGGAAAGATTCCTTCGTATGAGTAACATATACTGCGCAAACATGCATTCAAGTTAGATTAACATGAATTTAAATTGCAATGGCAATAGAAAAGTATGCCGTTGTATACCTGGGATGATTATCCTGCTTACTGATATACACTAATTCACCATTCTTATTATAAGTGACTTCGGCGAACTGCTTGGCGAAAGTTGATATGAATGGTCCAAGTATCTGAAAAGCCGATATTCGTACCCATTTGGAGTCATCAATCAAGTGCTTAGCCAGTATATCCGCAAGTAACAATCGCCGATGTTCGGGCGTCAAACAGCAAGAAACCGGCATCATGACCTCGACGCACGCTTTTCGCACGTTCCATATTCTGTCGCCGCATAGATCAATAAACATAGGAATCTAGAGACAATTCGAATACATCAGTAAACGGTACCACTTTCATTTATATTAGATCAAAATATGCCCATTAACTTTATAGCCTTCCATTTTTATATCTACAAATAAAACTTACCAATTTGCTGTACAGTTTCTCCTTTCCCACAGCAGTGCACATTTCCCCAAAGTGAGTAGCGCAGATTCTCCTCACCATCATATCGTTATCTTCACATAGGTCTAAGTATCGTGGCAGAAAGACCTTTTCTGTAAGTTCGCTACCAATCAGCGGTGCCAATCTACACATGAGCTGCGAATCAATATAAAATATGGAACGTTGGGAGAAAGTGAATAAGCATTACAAGAAATTAACATTAAGTAGATATGCGCTATCGCGTATCTATTTAACGTTAAATATAGACTTATAAACTTATGTTTTAATTTTAGCCGCTTCTCAAAATCATTTCTGACTACGCAAATTGAAGTTCTCTTAAATAGTTAAACAAGTATATGTAAACATGCGCACTTAAGTTAACAATTTTATATAAGTATATACACATATATATACATACATACACGCACACACACAATAAACGATAAGAACAATATTTTTACAGTATATTAAGTAATATTTATAAAATATTAAGAAACAGGTGAGATACATCGTTCCGTTCCGCTCATCAAAGCTGGCTGTGATATGAATCAATAGCACCACATCACAACCACTCTGATGGGAGGAACAGTCGATTTTATTCAATCTTTTCCTGAGAGATGTGCATTAGTTAATAGATTAACACTTACGCTTATTAAGATATACGAACTATATTTATATTACATTACAAAATGACATATTTTGATCACATAAATATAAATACATTTATTTGAATTATTACAAATTGCATAATCGCATTTAAATAATTAAACTGCACGAAAAAAATATTTAATCAAATATATTTCCGTAAAAAATTAATAGTTATCTTTCCCATTTTTAAAAACGTATGAATTGTAATATAAATATGGATATATACATAATATAAAATTATTTTACTGTAAAAAATTTATTATATTTTTTAAAATATTTGTATAGAAACGTCTATATCTTTTTACAACATCGATAAGATTTTTTATTTATATTTATTCACTATTCGTAACTCTTCTGTCTATTCCAATAAACTATTACAGACTTAGTTCTTAAATGTTTAAGTATAAAGAAAAACATTCTTCGAAATTTCTTTCGCACATTCCAAACTTGTTGAATTGTGAGTGTCGCAACGCTCATCAAAGCTGGCTGTGATATGAGCATCGTTATATCAGCATATTACAACCACTTTGTGAGCAACGCGAGCACGCTTTCCTCTGTAGCTGAGAATATCTTCAAAGCATCGTACGATGATCCTTACATACATCCTTTCACACTTCTGCACGACGTAAACGGAGGGCGATGCATAAAACGGCGATCCAAATCGTCAAAAATGGCTGTGATATGAAATTCAGAGGAGCAACACGCCACAACCAATTTGACGATTGGATCGCGTTCCTTCCTGTGTGACGCTATTCATCGTTTCGGATGGCTCGGATAGCTTCGTGTGGTTATTTTCAAAATGGATCTCTTGAAATTTGATGATGCAAATGTGAATATAACGCAATGGTTATCTTCCGGTAGACCTTTCCACTGTCATTCGTTTCACACAGTTTTGTCTCCAGATGTGTCGCATGTATTATCGATTCAACAGGTACATATATCGACGGCAAAAAGTGGAATCTTCTCGACGATCAATTCTGCGGGCCAGCTCATCAAAATGGCTGTGATATGACTCGAAACATTCCACAACCAATTTGATGTATCGGACCGCAAAAGGTATATCCCCGTTCATAGTGTTGTAACGGCGTTCCTCCAATGTGTCGTCTCTTGCCTCTCCATTGTCTTTCTCAAGCCTCACCTATTTTCCATTACTCCTCTTCTGTTTTGTCATTTAATTTCCCCCTTTCTCTCGCCTTTAATCACTGGAGCGCGTTGAAAACGGACACAATTTTGATCATCAAAGCTGGCTGTGATAGTCGAACTCTATGACAAACCAACTTTGATGGTAAAAGTATGCCCTCTCTTCATCAGGATGCCAGTATTTGTATTTTTCACGAACGCTCTATGCTCTCTTCGCCTTCATCTTTCCTTTTTTCTTTTTGTTGTTTATGGAAATCTTCAAGCGATGATGGCTAAGTATTCCTTGCTCCTTTAATCTTGCTCTTAAAGCGCATTTACCTCGTAAACGTACTTAAACTCCTTGCCATTCCTTTTTCTTTCCTTTTCCTTATTTCTCCTCTCATTTTCCTTATCTTCTTATCGTTATAAATTTCTTGCTTCGATTTGACGTTTGGCTCGTTTTTTCGCTGGCGCGACAGATCGTGTAATTTTCATCATGCGATTCTCGTTTTTGCGCAACATCGCCGATGCGAGCGGACGCCGCATGAAAGACAAGATAGTGAGACGCGATTGCGTAAGAACATCTCACTACCCATGTCTTTCAGGAGGAATCCGTAAATACTGAGAGCTGTATTCCTGATTTCGCATGCGAAGAAACGCGACCGCCGCGTCGTATGTATCTCTAATCGCGTGAACATAAGATCTCGAAGATTTTTTGCGCATTAACAACGAAAATTCGGCATAAAATAGACTATACAAAAGACAAATCTCAAAAAATTGAATTGTCTTAAATAATTATAGTTACATAAGAATATATATAAAAAATAAAAATAGGAAAAACCCTATTTTTAGAAAGACATCTATTTTATTTACATATTGTCTACTTATAAAGAGAAATAAATGATAAAAATGTTTGTTTCGTTCAATTTACATAATTATTTTCTTGCGGAGGACTTAAGAACTTTTTACACTGTCTACCCCGCCTTCATAAATAACTTTCTTCAAATAGCAATGTAATTTCAAGAATGTATTGTGTACAGCCTCTTTTTTTATGTCAACTCTTCTATTATTTTTACTTTACGAAAGGATAAGAATACGAGATAAGAATACGAGAGAATAGGAAGACGAATGAAGTACGAGAAACTTACGGAGATGTTCGCGTTTCGAGTATGTTCGTCGGCCATATCGTGGGATCCTAATTGCCACATGTAAGAAAGTTTTTCTATCGTAGGACAGATAATATTCTCGATCATGTTGTTATCAAGGAGGTCTCGTTTCATCAATGTTGTCAGTGCGCTTTGGGCCATTTGTCGTACCTATAGAGAAAAAAAAGTCTCAATATTTACATCGCCACTGAAATACTTTGGTTTTTGCTTTAGGTACATGTTGTTCAAAACACGACACAGGCACGATTCACTTGCCTGATTGTCCTGATCGTTCAGGTACTTCATCACGATATCGAGTAGGTGATTGCGGAGAACATCGCCGAAGAGATGCGGTGCTTCGTGGCAGATAATCGCCACATTTGGAATTTGCTCCACTAGGTCCGACCGTACCAAAGCATCTGCGAACAGAAAATGTACATTTGTAAGACTTTTGAGAGCATAAAAGACTCGTTGCGTATTCATTTCCAATTGCATTTCTAAGAATACCTACAATCAGTTTCATAAAAAATCGGGACTTGAAATGGAACTGAATTAACTAAATCGAATGTGAATAAACTCGCTATGTTTTCTTAATCTTTATTTGAACGATATATGTTTCGAAAATGGACAACATGTTATGTCCTAAAAAATTTTTTTTCTCTAAAAACTTCTAGAACGTTATAAATAGTTTCTAGAGAAAAAAAATTTCTTTTGTTCACGATCGATTTGGTTAATATATACACAATATATAGATATACGATTAGTCCCGTGCTATTTCGCGCGTGCTTTTAGTGTAGAGAGAGACATGTGTAGAGATCATGTCCGTATCTTCTGATTTCTTTTTTAAATTAATACATCTTTAATAAAAATCTGATATCGCAAATGTTTTCAAATCTCTTGAAGCTAAGAAAACTCGAACAACGGGAATTAATAATTATGCACACAAATTTTATAAAAAACTGAACGGACACCGAGTTCGTTACATACTGCCCGAATGAAGATTAAATCGTTTTTTCTTCCTGATTTACCTAGGGACCATATCGCCGTGCTATCACGTATTATCACTTCTTGCAAGCACGAGACTCACGTGGCGATATTCGCAGAAGAATCTCGAAAAGGAATGTTCTTGAGATTTAGACGTTAACTGAGGATGCGTGGCAAACGAAAGCGATGGCTTCCCGAAAAGTTACGAAGGAGGGAGATGCTAGAAGCGGGGGTGCAGAAGCTTACATTGGGCCTCATGACAGGACCATAAGCCAAAAGACTAATTCGGTGGGGGAAAGAATTGGGGGTATATACGAAACTCAGACAAGGAATGAGAAAGAAGCGAAAGTGATGTGCGTGCCATCTTGCGGACCATGGTGTCTAGCAAAATCTGACTAATCAATTCAAGCATAATTTCAGGACATTCCAGGTAAAAATTCTGGTTTTTTCAGGATTTATTCCATCGATTAATTTTCATTATTTAATTAATTTTCATCGATTTGCACAATATTATGTACTTTGTATTTAAGTTAGGATTCTATACGAATGAATTAAAATGCTAACAAATTTGGAACAATATTATTTATTGCTTTATAAATAATATCAAATAAACATTCCATCAACACAAACAATTTTTCTACTATGTTCTATTTTATTTTTCTTCTTAGTTTTTTCTTTTTTTACGCTCTGATTTTTTAGAATGAAAGAATGATAAATTCCAGGAACGTCCTGAAATTTCAGGGGTTCCCAGGAATTTTCCAGAATATATAAAATTCCAGTATAATCTCAGGATATTCAAGAACCGCTGGACACTATGCGGAGAGACTCATCAATACTGATTCTTGAACATCCTTGAACATCCTTGAACATCCTTGAACATCCTTGAACTCATTTTTTCTCCCGTATCTTTTCTGCGCGCGCTTCCCACTCGCTTTTCAAGAAAACATGTCCTTTTCAACAGTCTCTTCTCATTTTTCGTTTCTTTCTCGCGAGGTTTTCCGAAGGGTCGGTGATGCGCACTTATACGTTTTTGGCCTTTTGCACACTAGTAAGGCTATTAATCATCATCAGCGAAACTCTATTTTCCTTTCCCGCCTTTTCTGTCCAGTACATTTTTCCAGGCTATGTCGACAATATCCCGCGGCGGTATATCAAAGATTTAGAATCGCCATGTTAGTAGTATTCCTCTACCCCATTTTATGGATATGTGGGAAGAGATCTTTGTTGGACTGTATATTTGAGGGAGATTTCTTTTCGGAATCTTTATTTATTTCTTAACATGTTTCTTATATGACTCGAGATTAATTAAATTATAGAGGTTAGACAGAAATTTTCATCGTAATTTGGCAATAAATTTTGATGATAGAAATACCAATAAGTTATTTTCTCATAATAATTAATTAGAATTCTTTTCAGCTAAAAATATAATCATATCTCTCACTGACAAGTAATAATGTAAAAAATATCAAACGTTGAGATGAATGTGCTTTTCAGGAGGTCATCTTAATAATTTTGCTATTGAGATTTCGACGACACTCAACGTAATATTTGAAAGATATAAAATTACTAAACGTATATATATGATAAATAAAAACTAATAGAAATCATAGAGTTAAAAAAAGTGTATATATATATATATATTCTTATTTATTATAATTTGACGATAAATACATGTATCCACTTATTACGTTACCTATTTTTATCGTTTATGTTGTATGGTTTATTAAAAATAATAATTTATAATAAATTTATCATTAATAATTGATAAATTTGGTCAGAAATAAGATTTCTGTAGTACTGGAGACTTCAGTTTCCGTAATAATGGAGATTCATCTCGAAAGACACGATACTAAGATAAAAATATATAGATTCTGCCATTAAAATAATTTTGTTGAAAGTACACTTTGATAAAAATAATCTTATAAATTTCAATAAATATTTGTTTAAATAGTTCTAAGTAAATATTTACTGTAAACATATATTTACTTGGTACAAAAACCATTAATTTGACTCAACTATCATATTTTTTATTAAGTAAATATTTATTTAGTATAAATAAATGTTTACTCAGTTCTATTCAAAGGTAAGATTTAGTCAACTTTTTTCAGTGTAATTTATAAATTAGAGAAAAGAAATGGATTTTCTTATTTCGATCGCACCCCCATTCACAAATATCTATGTATAAAGGTCAAAACGTGCCTTTGTGCGCTCGCAGCTAGGCTGGAGAACACGCCGAAATTTTCTATTAGCTTCGAGTCCCCTAGTTTCATAGCTGAAAGGTCAATGCACCCACTAAAAATCGGGGAGAGTCCGATTTCCCTCCATCGGGCGGCGTATCCAAAAATATGTAAACGTCGAACAAAATGCATACGTGTCGCGTGCCCCGTGAGCTCTGAACCGGTGCTGCTGCACGTATTTCGTTCCCCTTCCGCATGTTCCCCTACAGAAAAACACCAATGGTGGCACGTGTTCACGGGGCAAGATGTTCCGCGGTTTGCCCCTAAAAATAGCTGGTTAGGACACCGCCACCTTTGGGGTGCTGCACATCGAGACACACCCGTCGCATCATCCCTCGTGCTATCGTGTGCTTCACCATTTCCGGATGGATAACATGTACGTTCGTATTGAGCAGATCTCGATTGGTGGTCTCTCAACAGATTAGATTTTAAGTTGATTTTTTCCTCTCAGAAATTGCGGAAGACGATCATTAGTTACAAATATTTATATAATAAGTTATGATATTAGATATTTGTGCACGTTAAATTTATTCTGAGATCTAATTACTGTAATAAGCTCATATATAACTTATACTATTCGTCAAAACACTTGCAATTAAAACAAATTCCTTATATTTCTTGTAGAGATGAGAATATCAGGTTTTAATCAAAATATACTGGCGTTTTTATTAATTTCTTTACATTCTGCATAAAAAATATTTAATATAGACAATCGGTCACTTATTTATTATCTGATCACGATTTATGATGAAATTTGAGAACATATTGTATAAATATCGCTTTCTATGAACATGATCGATTTAGCATCTCAATTTGTATCACAATTTGCTTTTATTCTTCTAAAATGTTACGCAATGAAATTTTTAAAATAATTTACTTTTTTTACTGTTCCTGTAATGAAAATACGCTTTTTTATTTTATGTCTTTTCAAATTCGATAAAAATAATTATCGATGATTAATCGTACTACGTTACATTCTTGATAGATTGTGAGGAAAATCAGGATTGGGAAAATTACTCCGTAAAAGTAACTAGTTCCAGTTACAGTTTTTTCTTTCAGAAATTAGTTACCATTATAAGTTACTCTGAAAAGCAATACATTACAGTCATAATTACCTAAAATGTGACGAGTCGTTACTTTTCTGTTAATTTTAGTAATTTTTTGCATTGCTATTTTAAATGCAAGAATTTATGTATTTATTAGTTTATACATTTTTAACACTCTAAATTATTTTATTTATTACATTAAACATTCGATTACACGCTATATTATTTACAATAAATTAATATATACATTCGAAATAAAAATTATGATTATCAGAGGTAAAGACATTTTTCAATTACCGTTCACTGAACATTTTATTAGTTCGTATGTTGACGAATAAGTTTGATATAAAGTAACTATTAAATTAGTTATTAATTATTAATTAGTTATTAATTAGCAAAAAGATGTAACTAATTTAAGTTACAGTTATAACTGGAGAAAAGGAATAGAGTTAAGTTACTGAAAAAAGTAACTACAATCGTAACTTCGTTACAAGACTAGTGAAGTAACTTCTCAACCCTGTGTAAAATACACAAAAGAGTTGCAAAATATAATATTTTTAAAATATATTTGACACATAAGGGAGTTATTGAAAAGAAAAGAGACCTGAATCGAATTGAACACGAAAAAGAATGTCAGTTTACTACGTTTTCTGTTTCTTTAAGGCATCTTCAGGTAAGGACGACGTATTACAAAAGACTTCGATCAGGTCAATGTTCATCGAAATATTTGAAGAAATTTTCGACGACCGTCGATCCAGTCATGTCAGTAGTGGAAACCGTATAGCTGCGTAAATTATTTTTCTTTTCCTTATCCATCCTCTAATTTTCAAAATCTGTTTTTCATAAGTTACGACACTCAACTAAAATTTTAATTGCTTTCTGTATTTTAATTTGTATTCTCATTGCGCATTTAACGTCGAATATATTCGTTTAATTTACTTTCCTAATTTAAAAATATATCATATCAATAGAAAGAGAGAATTAGATAATAGCATTTAATAGTGCTATAATCTATTTACACATTAATGTTTTTAGCTCATTATCGAAAATAAATAAGAATAAATTATCGTGTGATTCTACTAAACAAAAATAAATTATCATGCGACTACTGTATATGAAATAATGCGTACACCGATAGACTGCCACGCATCTCGAATATCAAGAGGTGCCAGAAGGATGTGTCTGTAAATCCTGGTACCAGCATGCGCTACGCAAGATTTCTTCGTAGCCAGAGATGGCGATGTTTAAATTAAGAACGGAGTGGGTTTACGTCTGAGACCGGGGGCTGTGCCCTCTCGTATAAATATCGCGGCGGCTTAATGCTATATCCTCGAATCCACGAGCGACTTCCGGCATCGTGGCGCGTGCCATACCGGAAGCGAGGGCACATCGTCCTCATCTTTCGTCGTTGCTTCTAATGATAACGCTTACTTTTCGCCGCACCATCTTGCCTTCTCCTTCGACCCCAAACGAAAACGACTCATGCCCCTGTCTTCCCCCTAAAAAACAGCCCTGATACAGCTGGTTGTTAATATTTATACGTTTCCTGTGGCAACACGTTACTTAAGCGACCTCCCTCCCCCATTCAAGGAGGTATGCCCAATTTTGTAGCGAAACACAAAACGTTATTTCGGTTAAGGAAGAATTATGTGCGACAAATTTTGATACCCATAATTGAGTATACCTATATTTTTTTAATGTTTCTTAAACATCTGACTTTGATGATGCGTCTTTACTTTTTGAAAACATACGGTTGATTCTTCGTGATATGTGCGATATTACTTGTACAAAATGTGAAAATTTAGCGAGACAGACCTTAAAACATTTGACTATCTTTACACATTTTATTAAATTTCAGTCAAGAGTTTGTTGGCACTGCTAATATTAACGTTTTCTGGGTTAGAACGAGATTATTTGAACGAATGCCGGTTTAAAAAATTCAATTTCTAGCGAAGCGGCATTATTTTAGTAAAAAAAGGAGAGTTACGTATGGCAAGCTTTAAAGCTGTTATCGATGCCTGAGCTTGCAGTTTTTGTGAAGTATTGATCACAGAGATTAGAGTAGAGAGTGAAAGCGTAACGTTGTGTGTATAATTTTGGTAGTAACGAGAAAGAAGAGTATCTAATGACCTCGATCATATAGATACGAGAAAAACATGAAAAACTTTTTGCGCATTCCCTATTGCACCATGAACATCACAGAATCAATAAGTTTCGTTTACATTACAGCTATCGAATAAATATATTATATGATTTCGTTTACAATCGACATATTACGCAGCAAAAATTATTGTCCATGATGCTATATTTTGCGATCGCAATAATTCTTAATTTTAGTAAATAAATTACGTCAATTGTGTAAGTTTAAACATAAAAGACAAACAATAAGGATGCAAAATAAAAAGCGTAAGCTATACAATAAAATATGATTAAAAAGAATTTTAACAATTGATCACATCTTTGCTTTGACATGCACGAGTGATGCGAAGAATTTGTCTCAGAAATGAACATATTCAATCCTTCCACATCAAACGTATACAAAGGTATACAAAGGTATGCAAAAAAATGTGTAACAATGAATTTTTTGCGATTTAATATTGCTCTTGGTAATAAAAAAGTGCTAGCGTGTAAAAAAAATTAAGCAAAAAGCTGAAATTTGCATCATCGTACAATATCGTGTGATTATACTCATTATTAGAAGCAAAATCGATATTATGTAAAGCGATAAAATTATAGATAGGTGGCGTTTAAAATAAAAAATAAATTTTTTTATGAGAAATATATAAAAACTTCTCAAGAAGATGTAAGAAAATATTAATGTGAATGAAATAAGCGTGTAAGAAAGTTGTTTAGCAGAAATGTTTTTTGGCTGTTTTTGCAGATTATAAGCTTTGTAGAAGTTACAATTATGTTAGATGTTGCTGCAATTTGCAAGTCATTTAAAAATAAAAAAAAATTTCAGATTAGTGATTTTAGGTTAGGCATTTTAAGATTAGTGTTTAATTAACGATCGTACGATGCGACTTACCATTATCATTGATAACAAGTTGCATTGGTTGCATGACCTCTTCGACAATTAACGTTATTTTGTTATTGACCGCTGCGCGAAACATTTCCACCAATATACGCCCAACCATTTGTCTGCAACAAAAAATTAGAACGACGACGTTAAATCATTGCCAGGTATTCTGCATAATATTATCGATTTGCATCTCTACATCAAGATGTAAATTCCTGAATTGGCTCGCGCGATAAGATACGTTTGATAAAAGAATCTAAGAAAAACATGTTAATGTTACTCATGCTGACGTCACGTTTCGCAATATTAGCTAAAAAAATTGAAATCAATGAATCTACTTCTCTATTGAAATTGCATATTTTTGCGGAGCTAATTTAATTTCATTAATATAAATAATCGCTATGAAGTGTAAGCGACGAATAGCAACTTTGGGCTGCTGTTTTCAATAGTCAGTGGATAGAATACACAACGGAATTTTCCGATGTAAGTCAACTTACGGTGTGTTTGACATTCACATATTCGCTTTCTAAGTATGTTGCGCTCCACTCATACATCGTCTCACTTCTTCATGCGATCGTTCTTTTCTCTAATATTGCTCGACATAGTCAACCGATATTAGTTTTTCATTTCTTATCAATAATCACATCACTGAGAAAAATGGTCTTGGTTAAATAGTAATTCTAATGGCAAATGGACAAATCAGAATTTTCTGGTTAAATCTACTATAATTCTAATTGAGATAATTAGAATTCTGATTGATATAATTATTCTGATAAAAATACGAATTCTAGTAGATTTATACCAGAAATATTGTATCAATCAGAATTCCGATTATCTCAACTAGAATTCCAATAAATCTAACTAGAAAATTCTAGTTCGTCCATTTTCAACCAAATTTTTTTCAGTAATACATTTTTCAGTATCGTCTCACTCGATCTCAGACACATTTTTGATAGTTTTTTTCTACACTACAATCACCGCGAATAATTGTAAGCTTTCTCTAGATCAATTAATTATTTTAAATTAATCTAGGCTATATTAATTAATAATACAAAAGAGTTATTTTATATTAACTTTATGTGTCTTTTTGTGCTTTTCATGTGCTTATAATAAAAACCAATTAATAAATTAAGCCAAGAAAGTTATATTTTGTTTTACCAAATATATTTAAAGCATTACATTTTCTGCAAAAGTTGGAGACGCAATTCAGGAGTAATTCGTTTTCATTACAATAATTGGGTAAAGGAATGTGTCTAGCGTTAAATTACTAAATCTTGATGTTCATACAAATTTCGATAAATTGGGTTAGATAATTAAATACAATACATAAATACAAGCATGATTTAATTATCAACTTCAAGAAAAAAGACAGGGGAATCCGCGAAGATACTGAAACAAATTAGATACTGAGAAGCAACATGTGTCTACCTTGACAACCGTGCATATAATATACCCAATGTTGAAGTGTTAAAAGGAAAATATAAGAGCAAACGCCACAAGTTCCAAGACGATTATCTTCATCAATTATTCATACACATTGTCCGGGTATTTCGGCGCATTTGGCCCCGTAAAATTTCAGGGAACTCGAATAAGTTCGATAATTAAATACATAAACCGAGTTAGGTTTCAACATGGCCATCTCTCGAAGCTGCGAGCCATAAAGGAAGAAGACGAAGAAGGAGAAGAAGAAAACACCAAGTATCGAGGCAAACAGGCGTCAGGACAAGTACGACAAGGAAAACGAGACGAGACGAGACGACGTTTGCGGGCAGCGCACCATCATCGCAGGCCATGAAGGCGGCGGCCGCCCTCGACGAGTGGAATCGAAGACGAAGAGCAGGAAGTGGAAGACGAAGTATCGCCGCCGTGTAGTTCGATCACGTCGCTACCCTTCCCTACCCGTACCCCTACGTGCCCTTTCCCGTTCGGCGTAACTTCGCCCCACCGCGATGTCGGGGGACCCTCCCCTCTTGCAAAGGAGATGCGAAAATGCGCGCGAGTGGGGTCGAGCGATGGTGCTACGGACGAGGTAGGGAGGGCGGTGGCGAAGCGTCGGCGGTGGTGGAGGCGACACCAACGGAACATCGTTGACGGTGCCCCACCAGAAACGCAGCGGCGCATCGCCGAGTGGGGTAGAAGCGTTCTCCAAAGTAGTTGGAGAACGCACGACTAAACGGTACCGCCCGTGAACGCCTACTATCCTGGCGCAAACATGGCCGCCGACCGCGGCAAAAAAGGCGAGGGAGAACGAAGACGGTCTTCCCTGTGGAATTTTCGGGAGTAGGCGCTCGCGCGCGCGCGGCCGCGCTTCGCGGTTCTCCGCGTGCGGAAATCCCTCCCCGGTCCCGGTACACGACGTGTGTGTACCCTGCTCCCAGGCGCCCTCTACCCACCTGTATTCTGTAGAGCAACGACTTAGGTTCATTTTATCAGGACCCAGACACCCCCTGGCCCAAAATTGAAATACGGGTACCGACACTTCCCTACGGCCTACCATACGCATGATCGCTGTAGTTTGCGAAGATCGATAAAGAACACGGCGTTTTCTTCCTCCTCCTCTTCTCGGCGGCGAGCGATATTGTAGTTGTGTACACATATACATACATAATATATATATTTATATACATAATATATGTGTACAAGGGAGGACCGATTTTAGGTATCGCCACGATTGACGTGGACTTCTATTGTATCGTAATATCGATAAGCTGTGCAGGGTCGTGATGGAAAGAAACTTAACACGTTGGAAATTCAAATTTGTATGTTTCGGAAATCAAGTGTTTACTATAAAGTCGTCAATAAAAAAATGCACACTATCCTTTTATTTTATTGCTGCTAGCTAACTTTTTGATTAGCAAGTAGGCAAAATTATACCAGAATGATATGCTTCGCATTATAAAGATAAAGTTGTATTTTTTGGGACGCATTAATCTTTATACTTGTAATGGACAAAGAGGCTAAAAATTAGTTTATCTATTAAAATTAAAATATGATAAACAAAATTTTTAATATAATTTTATTATCATTCTCAGTAAATAGAAATAGAATAAAAACAAAAATTTTTCAATAATAAAGGACCGCTATTTTATAGTTAAAAGTGCCCAAGTGTCTGCTGTGACCGATTTCTTGGTTAAAAAAATAATCTATAATTAACCTTATGTTGAAAATATGTTCGATTTATAATCTAAAATAATCTTGTCTTATTTTTAATTGTAACTTTCTTTGTTTTGAAAAAATAACTCTGAGAAAGTGATTTTCTTCCAACAAAACGCAATATCCGACAAAAGAAAAATACTACTTCTTTTTCTGTTCAAAGATCGTCTTAGAAAAATAATAAAAATAAAAGAATCGAAAAATACATTTTGTCTACAAATATATCTCTTTGTAAATCAAAAAAATCCCCGTTGGCATTTCAAAATGGACCATTTATGGTTACTTTTTTGAAACTGGTAGTCAAACAACGATTTCCGCACACACGGAACGTGACCTGATACGCTTTTATTGCTCTGTAGATTTATTAGGTTCTTTTTAAACATCCCATTTTCCGATAACCCTTTTCCCTCTGTCACCGACGTCTTTTTTTTTTATCCAAACTCAGACACTTCGAAAGTCTAGTGTCTTATCCAGAGGCAAATGCATTGAGAAAACAATATAGTAAAGGAGGATGCAAAAACAAAATGGCTCTTAAGCCTGCAAGGGTATCTCAACAAAGATACTCTTTAGTCATGCTAATAAAACTAATGAACACGTAGGTAGATGTTGCGCACAGAAAAAGAGAAGCGCAGGAGCGGTTTCTCATTGAATGAAATCGGACGAAACAAACTCGAAGAGAACTGAAAGAATTCTCGCATAGTTTGAACTTAAGGATGTGAAATCAGTTACGGCTATACACCATAGAAATTTTACAGAAATTGTAGTAGACAGCAAAAGAAGATAATCCTACGGAAAAGGAAATCTGTAATTAGGGGAAAAGCGTTACGTATTTTGTTTGACGACGTTTGACGAGCGAGTGTAATTCTTTCACAATCGAAGAAAGGATAGAATTGAAGCATATTAACTTTTAGAAAGCGAAGATTTATTTTTTAACTTTCACAGCTTTGTCTGAGGTAGATTTGTTATAACTCAAGATTTGTGTGTTATAATTCTTTATTTCATTGTATTGCTTGCCTTAAAAGATGACACTTTCAGTACCACACTGTGGCTTTCCCATCCTGTAAAGGGATTAAGTGTCGCAAAAGGAAGAGAATAAGCGATAGGATTAGGAGGAAAGCGCGCTTTTCTTTATTTAAGATGAATGAATACACTTGGGATGATCACCTCCCATATCATCATTCGCACTTTTCTTCTCAATACCGACACCTGTCCTAACACGTACCCTCTCGGGAACATTCAGCGGATTTAAGACTTGTACATAACCCGATAAGATCGCATTGTCTTTGAATTTCCGAGTAGTGTAGGAAGCTGAACAGGTGCGCACGTGACGCGCGAGAGAATTTTTGTGACTGCTGAGACAGAACGGCCACATGACGATAAAATTCATTAATTGAAAACTTTTCTAATTAGAATACAATCGTTTCCCGATCGAAATTATTTTCATATAATGATTAATAACCAGAAACACCAAACAACAAGTATAATAAGCGCATTATTTATCTTTACAATACAAAAGAATTTCCGTAAAATTGTCAAAACAAGTTTATTATTAAGATTTTTATAAAAAATTATTTCCAAAAGTATTACTTCGAAAAATCTTTAAAATTACAATGTCTTGTACATGAAAATTATGTCAACGAGTGAATGTTCTTGTATCTGCATCACGCAATATTCTTCACAAAGTAAGAAGTAATTTTGTATTGCACCCATCATCTCACAGTTAGTGTTACTAATTTACAATAGATACAAAATTTTAATAATACATAAATTTTTAACGTCAATTTTATTTTTCGGTATAGTTCGATCGGTTAGTTTCGATTTGTATTAACATATCCCGAATATATTAAGAAGTTGAGAGAAAGGTGAAAAGAGAGATAGAGAAAGAATATGAAGACTTGCTGACTTTCGCTCTAATCTTTCCATGCAAGTTTGCGATACCGGAAAGAAGATCGAACGGTATGTCGTAAAT